TTCTTCGTCCATTTGGAGTCATTCATCTGACTCTTTGGCATCTTGAAACTGGAAGTTGAATCTGTACCAGTACACCCTGCTTCAAAGGCACATCCCTGTTGCCCCTTTTGCAAAGGAGACTGGTTCCTCAAAAAAGTTCTCTCGTGGAAACACTGTGAGTGCACAGTGAGGAGAATAGCTTTGGCGCGCTCTTTACTACGCCACGAATGACACTGTTTTAGGCAGCAAGGTCTCGAAAGATTCTCGGAAGGTCATTCCTCATTCTATCGATGGAAAGTGTTCCACAAAGATCACTAACATAGCCTAATCATAGCCTACCTTTCACACTCACCTCCATGTACAAATGCGCAGCGGAAACACTTCGATTTCCGTGGACGGATTGAAGTCTCCCAAAAGGTAGAGGGTTGAAAAAGAAAACACATGCCTTGGCCCCCGAATGCCCCCGATCTGGTTTCAGCACATCACTAGGCCCACTAGGCAGAAAAAGGACTCGGAAAGATCCAGAGAGCCCGTAGGGAGGCTCCCCAAGCACACGTGTTGGAGATCATTCGTCGGCATGCAAACTGAGGCCATACAGAGGTTATTGGATTTTGCCGATGCAATTGGATCTAGAAACGAGGTCCCGCTGAGGTTGCAATCAATTTGAGGATCCCAAAAACATGTCCTGAGCTCATGTCGATCCTTGTCCATCTGTGTCTTAATTGAAACCTGCCCTGGAATCTCCAAGCACTGGCGCACTTTCTCTGAAAAGCAAAAGAGTACTATATACACTCACTATACTTGGATTTGCTCAATGAATCGGGAATAGAAAGTTAAAAAAACATTACCCAGAAGCGGATTCACCCATAGGAAATATAGAAAACATCCTAAGCAAAAGCAGGAATATAGTTGTCGAGGCCAAAAAGCTGTTGACACCTGCAACTCTCCCAACCTCATCTCAACAAATCCTGTCAATACGCCGCGCCGCGCGAGTCTCGGCAACAAGCTCTTTGAAGCTGCAAAACTCTTTGAAAGAGAGGCCCAGTACCACACGCACCGTGAGCAGCCGCGCCATCGGCTGAACTATCCACGGTGCATCCCACCCAAACGTAGTAGCGATGGCCTCCACCCTAGTAGCAATGGCCTCCAACCTACTAGCGATGGCCTCCAACCTAAGAGCGATGGCCTCCACCCTACTAGCGATGGCCTCCAACCTAA